CCACACTGTTTTTAAAATTCTGCTTGAAATTCTCTTTGCCTTTTTTGTTTTGTTTTGTTTTTGTCTGTTTACTAACTATGTCACATTTCTCCTGCAGATCTCAGTTGGGTCATATTTAAGAAAGTCTCTCTTTCCTCACACTATTTCACTCTCTCTCTCAATTGTGCTTTTCTTTATCATGCTCCACGGATAATGTGTAAATGAAGGTTTGTGGAAATAGGAAGAGCACCAGAAGTGGAGCCTGAAGATGTGACTTGTTAAAATCTCATGATAAGACTTCAACAGATGAGGAGCTGCTTCCTATGGATGAGCCTATGGAAGAAAGTGGCTTCCTGAGATGGCATCTACTCCTGGTGAAGATTTTCTTTGCAGATGCCACCCTCTGGATCATTTAATGGCTACTTGGCACATTCCATCAATCAGGCATGGGTAGCTGTGATTACAGCCCCTCCTACAATGGCTGCATAGTCAATACCCTTCCGGGTGCCGGGCAGTCTTAACCTAGCCCTTATTCCGTGGAGTCTGGATGATCATCATCTCCTTCCCAGCTGCCCTTCTGGAGACACTGCAAACAGGCATCAGTGCGGAAGGCAGCCCCCTCCTCCACGCAGGCTACCTTGGACTCACCTATCCTTATTCGCTGACGCAGTGCACATGCTTCAGTCAAAGAACTGATGGGCCATACTGGCCTATTCGGGGACTTTGGCCAGGGAATTGCACATCCTGACATCCTTGAGACTATAGATGTAAACTGGAGGCAGTGATTGCCCACTGTCTGCCAGTTCCTCTGGCTCCTCCATCTGCCAATTCCAGCTGTTCCTGAGCCACTGCCAGGATTGTGCGCTCTTTTCAGACTCAACCCAGGCTCCAGTTTCTGCTCTTCTCTCCACTATTTCTATTATGTACTTTGTATACTTTAATAGCCCATACCTCTGATGGTGAAAGTGATCACAGGTGCAGTTTTACACTTATGTACTTGTCTGAAATAACAGATTCTTTCCTTTTAGAGATCAGGTAATCATCTGTCTCCTGTCCACAATGACTCACCTGGATGGTGACAGCTGGTAACTGTCATTTGCTGATAGGTTACTGCTTCAGAGCTAGGCATTGGATGAGGGAAGTTGAAGATTTTTAAGACTTGTTCCCTGTACTCAAGGGACTAACAGTCTGACTGGAAATGCATGGCTAATATATATTAATTAGTAAATTAGGGACACAATGTTATACCATGGTAACTCAGTCAAAAAAGGCAGATTTCATTTATAAACCAGCTAGAATCCTTACAGAGAAAAACCATAATTGTTGCACTCCATGCTAACTAACTTGAATGTAAATTTAAGAAATAAGTTAATAAAAAAGAGTGAAACCATATACCAATACTAATTGTGTAGAAAACAGAATAGGATCCCAAGCATAAGTTCCATAAGCCTATTTGAATTCTGCAGGGCTTCCAGACCCCACCTTGGCATGTCACTAGAAGTAACAGGTTTCGCTCGCAATTTACAAATGATACATACAAGCAATAGCCACAGACTTATCACTAGCTGGGAGTAATTCCTGATATTGCCAGAAGAGCCGTTATGAAAAGCAAAACAATACTGCCAATATTCCAGGGACTATGACCAACAAAAATGGTGCTTACATGGATCAACCTAAAAGTTGAGACTTCTTGAATTTCTTACCTGAAAGCATATCATCAGAACGAACAATCTGAAAAGCTGTTAGGAATACACAATGTAGCAGAATGTTTCTTCTATTTTTTTTTTAAATACAGACTTTACTAGTCTCAAAGACATTGACTGATGATGCTACAAGTGATGCTGTTAAAAATAGTTACAATGCACAATTCCCTAGATCAAGCTGTCTTTGTCCATATCAGTTCATACCATTTGTTATTTAGACAGCCCTTCCTTCTACAGCTGTAGGCAACCTAGGGCATCTAAATCTGTGGGTGCTTAAGGTTGAGGTTGACACTGGGCATTATAGGTTTCAGGAGAAGTCTAGGTGAACTCAGTTTTTTTCTTGCACCACTTAACGCTCAGAAGGAGGGTTTTGCCAAGTAGTCTGGTGTCCTTATGACCATGAGTGAACTCTGTCACCAGAGGAAACTGCTTTCACATTTCCCTTTTCTATTCCAGAATATACTCGTAAGTTAAAAGCCCATAGTTAGGCATCTAGATGAACAATAAAGCATTTTTCAGTTTTATGATTTCATGATTAGACATCGAGAGAATTAAAAAACCTAACTGTTCTTGCTCTCTTGTGCATGGGATATTTTTGCAACTATATACAAAAAACTGGTAACAATGCTTCATGGAGAGGGGAGCTTCCTCTTTCCTGCGAGTTTTGGACAAATCTTCTTTTTTAATATCATGTATTATTTACTACTAGTAATAAAAATAACTTAAAAACAAATACAATTAAAAATTTAAGTAGAAGAACATTTTACTTATAAAAGCACAGAGCCTCTTTCTCTAGAAATGTTTATACCCTGTTCTTGTTCTTCTTTACAATTTTATCATTATTGTGATTTGTTTTTAGAAATAATAACTCTCAGGGTCTGTGGGGGATAGGACAGAGATATAGAAGATAGGGATGATGTAAAATGCTATCTATTCCGCAAATATGTGTAACTACCTGGTATGTGATAAGTCCGGGGCTAAGTACTTCCTCCTTTCCAAAACTTCTGGAAGGCTTCTTGTGTCAACACCCAAGCATTTTTTTTCCTTTGTGAGTTCTGCATGCTTAAAATGCTTTTCGTAGACTAGTGGTGGTTTGTTCCTCAAGAATGCAGTGACCAACGTGCTCACCTGCTGCAGCAGTGACCCAGGGCACTGAGGTAGGTCCCAGGTATCTCGTTGACGTAGAGACTGCATTGATAACCTGCAGAGGAGACAGAGCGTAGCCTTACAGAGGGTGGGAGTCCTTTGGAGTGACTGGCCATAGAAACGAGTAGAGAGATCTCTTAATTCATAAAATTGGTGAATTACCCAAAAGCTGATTCCAAAGATTTGTCAACAGAATCCTGCATGCACTAAAAGAGCTTCTTGAATCAAAGAAGCTTCCAACTTGAGACAAGTTTTGTAAAGCTGTAGAACTTGTTTGGTTAAATTCTATTTCATACAGATGGGCAGTTAAGAACAGTGCTTTATTATTTGCTTAAACATCTTGGTTTTCTCTGTTTTCAAAGCCCTTCGGCATACTTTATTTCTCGGAATCCTCACAAAAATGCTATGAGAATCGTCTGACAATTTCACACGAGGGAAAGGCAGCTTAGAAGTGGAGCCTCTTGCCAATAGAAGCTTGATACAAAATGGCTGAGGTTTAGACCTGGACTTGGGAGCCCCACCTGTGGGCACTCAGCTGGGCGCACCACACACACAACTCTCCAATTATAATCAGAGCGCATGTGGAAAGGGAAATCGTCTGATTTTCATAAGATCATAACAGAGAAGGTGCCCTGGGTGCCCCCAATCCTTCCATTCTTCCCCTCCAAACCGCCTTCCTAGGTCTGTGGCCAGCCCATCTTCCTAGGATTGGGTTTGGATTACGTCACTCTCCTCCCCCAGCATCTTTGCTAGCTACTGAATAAAGTTCAAGCTCCACAATCTGGCAAAGTGCTCTGCCTCTAGCCCCGATCCATGCTTCAATCCTCTTTCCCATTTCAGTATGCTATTTCTTGCCCCTTACACCCTAACCAAGCAGGCCAGTTTACCACCACTTAGCTCTCCATCAGGGCATAGGTGAGGGGGAGGTGTGCTGCAACACTCACGGGGATGTCAAGGAACTCAGGAACACGATAAATATTGTGACGCAATCCTTTGAAAATTAGTGCAAAAAATACATGATGAAAAATATTAAAATTTAAAATAAAGACGGGGTCAGCTTTACTGGTTTTTCCTTTTTCTTCAGACTCCAAAACGCCTCTGCAAGGCACTGTTACTGATCCTGCAAGGACTTCCCCTTGGGTACTTTCACTAATGATGTTCCACAAAATTAGTTCTCATTACCCCTTTCCACACCTGTAACTTCTCTTCTTGAATGCCCCAGCATCATCTGTAGCCCTCTTCTGCCTGGAAAACCCATTTCCCTTAGTAACCGGTAGTACTTTGGTGGCCATCTGAATCATCTTGGATCCTTTCCAGTGCCTTCCTAAACCTCAGTGGGCACTCAGCATCTCTTAGCTAAAAAAAAAAAAAAAAAAAAGCAATCACAATCCTCAAATTAGCTCTCTCTGGGGCTGAGCAGGGAAGGAAGGAACCCAGATATATTTCGTTTGGTCCAGTGTTGCTTAAAAAAAATTTAAAAAACCGCACTTGTATCAATGATGTAAACATCAGGGTATTTTACATTAAAAAAATCGAAAAATCAGAAAATCTAGCCAATATAGGCCCGAATACTTCCATGACAGCACTGGGCGGTTAGAACAGAGAGTCTCTGCCTCTCGAGTTCACCTCTCTGCCTCCCGGCACTTGTTTGCATTACCCATCCGGGCCCCGTTAGCTCTGAGTTTGCGACCCTAGGCTTGAGTGCCCTGGATAAAACCCATCTGTTAGCTCCACTCGTTCTCTCCTGGAGAATAGATGCTTCTTTGTCCTTTCAAATAGAGTCTTGCAGAGAGGCTCGAAGAAGCAGCTTACCTTTCCAGCCCACAAACTTCTCCCAACCCGTGAAACTAGCATTCCCCTCCGCACGCGGTTTTTCCCCCGGGCCCTTTGCTCCAGGGCCCCCTCTCCCGCGCCGGCCCATCCTTGCCTTCTCCAGCCCCACACCCCGCGGTCGCGAGCCTGGGGCGGGTCCTCGGCCCCCCACCGCAGCTCTCTGCCCCGGGCCAGGGCGCCCGCGCTCGCCCACGGCGGCACTGGGCATGCTCAGAGGCGGCCGCGGGGGCAGGTTTGCTTCGCAGGCGCTCGCACTCGGCGGCGGGCGGGCGCGCGGCTGCAGCTGGAGCTCCAGCGCCAGGAGTTGGAGTTGCCGGGAGTTTCCCCCCCACCCCTCCCTCTTGGCGCGCGGCAGCGGGAGCCGGCGCGGGAGCCGCGAGAGGCGCCGAGCCAGCACCCGGGCCGGCCAAGCCTTGTCCGGAGCCCGGAGCCCCGCGCGGGGCAGCCCCCGGGGAGGAGCCTTGCCGGCTGGGACGCGTGCCACTCACTGGCACTGCCCGGGCTCGAGCCCGGCTGCAAGGTAGGGCCGGGGCGCCGTGCGGGCGAGGGTGGTGGAGGGGAGATGCGGCTGCTGCAGCCGCGGCGGTCAGGGCGCCCGGCGCTCGGTCCGATGCGGGCGGCCGGGGCAAGCGACCCCGCTGCGGGCACGGAGGAGTAGGCAGGCGCCCGAGATGCTTTCAAGTTGGCGGGCGGCAGGAGAGGGGGCTACGCGCCCCGGCGCAGCTGCTTTGTGCGCGCACAGAGGGACTCAGTCCCTGATTTTCCCCCTAGGGAAACCTGAGACCCAGTGTGCGGGGAGGTTTGGGCTAGCTGCGGAGCGGAGCAGTTTCTTCCGAGAAAGTTGAGGATGGAGCCCTTCTTTCGGCACTGTCCCCGCGGTAGGATGAGTCCCGAGGGGTGCCGCCCGGAGGCCCCAGTGTGGAGGAGCCGAGAGGGTCGCTGCGCCCCTGGGCCGAGTTCCTCCACCCCTGGCTGAAATCTGCGAATCGCCCGCTGTTCGCTTCTCTGGCGTCTTCTAGGAAAACCATTCATGCCAAAACTGAGGTAGGCTGTCTGGGCGGCACGGCTGCCCTGTCCAGGGCTTCTAGCCGGGCTCTACCCCTTCCCCGCCCTCCGACGTGGCGAAGGGCTCCGGGTTCCGAGTTCGCGCCGGTAGCGCGCGCCGGAATCGAGCCCTACACACATGGGGCAACATGGCTAGGGTAGGTGGCTGGTAAGAGTTCTTCCTGCAGCCTTTCCTCAGGTTTACAGCACGCCACCAATCGCCCACCCTGTTCATCTTCGTAGAGGACAGGACTTGAAGGGAAGGGCCAGGTGGAGAGTTTGAGTTGACATTCTGATCCTTAGAAGAGGGTGCCTGGGTAGTAGTATCTGCCTTTGGCTCTGGCCCCAGGACTTCATAACGAATTCTTTCCTTTATTATTCTTCCCTGGGGACTGGGTGGGAAAGAATAGGGCCAGGATGTCCGCCTCATTCCTTGGGCACCTATGATCCATTTGCAGGCCACCCCAGGACCCTGAAACTGGCATTGTGCAAATTGCCAGGGTGTGGAGGATGCTGCCGCTTTCTCCTGGCTCCACTTTTTTCACTTCTTGTTTTGGGTTTTGGGGTTTTGCCCGCACTCGAGTCCGAGCTGCGCTGTCATAACCCCCGGGGGTGGGGGGCTGGGGGTGTGTGTGGTGAGAGAGGTGGTGGAGAAGCTTCAGCCAGGCAGTGAGCCGCTGTTCGCCTCAGAGGCTGCTAGTGGGAATTGGTCCAGAAATGATTATGCAGGCTAGAAATATGCCTCTCTCTCTCTCTCTTTTTTTTTTTCGTTTTTGGCTGAACACCTTGGCTGTTGGGTTTGTGTGTTAAGTTCTTAAAGGGGCACCCACACACTGCTCAAGTGCCATGTTTTAGGGGCTGACCGTTTCTGCTGCACGTTTTTTTGTTTTTTCTTTGCTGTTTCCTTGGGGTTAATCTGCTTTGGGGCAGATTTCCAGCTGTGGGAATCACAGGGTGTGGGTACACAGGCTCTAGAGTCAGATCTGAGGTCAAGTTTTAGCTTTACAGCTGATGACGTTGCTGATAGACAAATAGCCACCCTGAACTTCAGTTTCCTCTTCTGTCTAATGGGGACACTAGTGGCCTTATCTCCTTTCATTGCTGGGTTGTTGTGAGACTTGGATGAGATCATAGAAATGAAAGTTATAAGAAAACTTGGAAGCAACATTCATGTCTTATTGTGGCCGTGCTCTGTACTCAGTTTTTCCGAATTAACTAATTCTTTCAATTATGACAGGACACCTAAGTCTTCTCCCCTCTACCCACTCCTTACCAAGAGGTTTAATTGCTCAGATCTTTGGAAATAGCTGCTTATCTTTTTTTTTCTTTTCACTTTTCCCTAAAATCCACCTCTCTTGATTTTTAAGGTTGAGGCTCTAGTCATATTTATCTGAGGGAAGCAGCATGGTATAGATTTGGGGATCTCCAGGGTTGCCTTATGAATGTTCAGAGCCCTGGGCTCTCAGATTGGCTTGTCAGCAAGACCCCTATTTGACAAGTAAGGTTGATGAGTCAGCAGACCCTGGGCTGGCGCTCTGACTTGGCCTCTAACAGTGACCTTGAACTAAAGACACAACCTTTGATCAGTCTGTGAGATTAAGAGCCAATAATCATCAGACAGGAACAGGTGGGATTTCCTCTCAGTTCATAAGGGTTTCATCAGGCACCTGAGCCCCTCCCTCTCCCCCCACGTGCTGCATCTGCCCTAGTCCTGGGGCAGAAATTCTCAAGAAGAAGCAGCACAGTCAACTGGAGGGCTTGTTAGAGACACCTGACTGGCTCAGCCAGTGGAGTGTGAGACTCTTGATCCTGGGGTTGTGAGTTTGGGCCCCATATTGGGTATAGAGATTACTTAAACACACACATACACACACACAACAAAGATTGCTGTGCTGCACTGCTTAGAGTCTCTGCTTCTCTAGGTCTAGGGTTGAAGGAAGGGGGCACAATAACTTTCATCTCTAGCTACTTCCTGGTGATGCCAATGCTACCAGTCTGGGTACCATGCTAATAGAATCACTGACTTACCAGGTAAGAGACCATAAGAGAGAGGTGAGGTCTATTCTAAAATACCATTATTTTAATCCCTCACATATAGAGATAGGGCACTTTAGGAACTTTCCTAAAGCATTTTTTATTCCAATACCTGTGTCACTTACCATTCCAGTTTTAATAATTCTGATGGCTTTTCATTTTTTTTTAAGTTTATTTATTTTGGGGGTGGGGGGGAGAGAAAGCACGAATGAGGGAGGGACAGGGAGGGAAGAGAGAGGGAATCCCAAGAAGGCTCTCCATTGTCAGCACAGATCCTACACAGGGCTCAATCTCACAAACCCTGAGATCATGACCTGAGCCACAATCAAGAGTCAGAAGCTTAAGGGATTGAGCCGCCCAAGTGCTCTCCCCGTCACCTCCACCCTGATTGCTCTTCAGATGAGTGGATTTTACACAAAAAAGTTAGGATTCTCCCTTCTTTTCACACTGTAGAATACTTAGTCCCTGGTTTCTAGGTCACTCTTGAGTAGACAGAGATCCGTGACCTTGATATTGATAAATCTGGCAACTACCCTATTCCTTTCCTAGGGGATCTCAGACATTTGTGCAGAGGAGTTGCATAAAGTTATGGCAGCTTGAATCTTAAGATTGGAGAACAGGTTGAATTGCTATAAGGGAGCTTAAAAAAAACCTGGCAGTGTGGTGCCTTTTCTGAATGGATAGTGTACCCAGGCGAGGAGGCAGGAGCAGGTGAAGTATATTTCGTGACAGATGTTCTGTGGTGGGCAGACCTGGCAGAGGCCTTCCATTCCTTCTGTCAAATGGTGGTGTTGGCAGTGACCGAGATCCTCTCTTACTCTGCAGGGGAGGAAGGCTAACTTTCACGGCAGCCGTGCTGTGTCACTGCCTCTCTGTGTCCTTTCACTGATAAGCACTGTTTGGGCACAGCCCAATCTGAAGCTCTTCTCCTTGTCCCCCAAGCTAGGGTGTCGGGGTGAGAGCTCACCAGGACTAGTTGTGGCCTTGAACTTCAGCTGCTTTGTGTGAGAGAGGCCTTGGGAGGGAGCCTGCCTGTGTGAGTCAGGAGGGCTCCAGAGATGCCATCCTAGAGAAGGAATAAGGTCATGTAGCACCCAAATGATTCGGTGTAAGAGGAGGTTAGCACTTGAACACATTCTCTTGTTGACGTGCCAGATGGAAGCCGGCCTGCCCATTGAGCTTTATCTTAGCTTCCCATTTGTTCTTTGTTTTAGTTTTAAAATGATTAGCACTAGAGACACCTATCAGTAAAATCAGAAACCTATTCAAAAACTCAAGTGTACCGTTTAGTGTTTTAGTAGATAAAACCGCAAGGCCCATGCCCGTCTTCCTGATGGTAATCAACCCTCAGTGAAGAAACCACCTTCTGGTTGTAATTCTTAAGATTCACTAGCTAATTTAAATGGTTTCTCCTACTTAACATGAGTAGGGAAAGGTTCTATTTTCAAATTCTTTCCCATAACTTGTTGTTTATATTTTGGGTGTTGCCCCTACTTTTCACTGCTAGGATTTTTCCCAGTGCGGAGGAGGTTTCTTTCCTTACCACCGTCGTCGTTCACTTTGCTTAGTGCGGGACTGCTTGGTATCTTCAGTCCCTTGGATAAGTCTGCTGTGAGACCCTCATTGTGATACTTTCTTTCTCTTTGATCCTCGGGGCTGTTGGCCCTGGGTCATAGAGAGTCCCAACCCGTTCCTGGAATGCTGTTCCCCACCACCTCCCTGGGATCCTGCTTCGATTAAAACTCGAGTTGTACAGCACCAGCTCGATTCTAAGAGGCATTTCCCACCCTCCCCACCCTCCGCAATTCATCATTTTCCAATTTCAGAACCTGGATGGGTCTTCAGAATTATGAACACCTTTAATGTATGGTTTTCTTTTTTCTTTTTCTGTAAACTGACAAGCAAAGAGAGCGACTTCCAATTGACATCCTAAAACAAAACACATTTGGCTCCTTCCGCCAGTAGGAAATACGGTTTCTACCCCGTGCTGTCCAACTGATAGAATTAAGCAGCAATTGAATTAGCTCAGCAGTTTCCAGAGTATGTTGTCAGAAGAATGCTATCGGGGAGGCGTTAATAGGTGTGCTCTTGAAAAGGGCAGATCAATTTGGAAGTGTTGCCTGTTATTTTTCCCTCTTAGAGATTCTCAACATGTGCATCGTCATATCAAAGTCTCTCAGAAGTCCTAGAGTTAATAGTCCAACAATTGTGTTCATTCAATTAAATGCTTCCCAGAACACATTTTTGAGGTTATGTGTGGATCTTCGAGTATTCCATTACCAAATTAGCACATTCCCACAATTCTGATAGGTTATTTAACATCGGCTATGGATGGGGTGGTTTCACCAAGTATATCCCAATAGTGTAGGGGCATTCATTAATATGAATATTCGTTGATTAATGGTTCTATAGGTGATTACTGTTTTTTTTTTTATTTTGGGG